GAATTCTGAGATTAAAGTCAGAATTTTTAATTAAAGTCAGAATTCTGAGATTAAAGTCAGAATTTTGAGAAAAAGTCAGAATTCTGAAATTAAAGTCAGAATTCTGAGATTAAAGTCAGAATTTTGAGAAAAAGTCAGAATACTTAAATTAAAGTCAGAATTCTGAGATTAAAGTCAGAATTCTGAATTTAAATCAGAATTCTGAGATTAAAGTCAGAATTCTAAGAATAAAAGTCAGAATTCTGAGAAAAAAGTCAGAATTCTGAGAAAAAGTCAGAATTCTGAAATTAAAGTCAGAATTCTGAGATTAAAGTCAGAATTTTGAGAAAAAGTCAGAATTCTGAAATTAAAGTCAGAATTCTGAGATTAAAGACAGAATTCTGAGAAAAAAAACTTGGAATTCTGAGAAAAAAGTCAGAATTCTGAAATTAAAGTCGGAATTCTGAGAAAAAAGAATGCTGACTTTTCCACCATATTAAACAGAAATAAAATGTAAAAATCAGTAAAAAAAAAAATTTTTTTCTAGTGGCCCTAATCCTCTTCCATACAAGTCCTGCAGAAAAACTTAGGGTGAAAATAAAAAATAATATATTTAAAATATTTCAAACAGTCTGTCTGCAGGATGGCTCAGATTGTAATACTGTTGCCTTGCAGCAAGGATGTTTCAGGTTCAATTCCTGGTCCAGAGTATTTCTGTAAGGCGTTTGCATGTTGTCATCTCTCCAGATACTATGGGTTCTTCCCACAGATCAAGAAAATGGCTCTTAGGTTAACTGGCCTTAGGGCTGAGTGTGCATGGATGGTAGTATGTCTTGTCCAGGGTGGAACTGTCACACTGATGGAATAAGTGAGAGAAGATGGATGGATAAAGGTATTTTAATAAATAAAATTAAAGATAAACAAATTTCTGGGGTTTTTAACAGCTGGTCCAGCAGCCAACACATTTCTCTGTATGCAAACATCTGTGAAGCAGCACAGAGTTCAGAGAGTCTGATCCGCAGGTTTCTGGAACTGATATAACATTTTACCGTGGTCCATCAAGGGTCCTAATTTATATATTATAAAAAAATCAACAGGCGGATCTATTGATTAGAGCAAGGAGGCCCTTCAGCCAGTGGCTGAGCTAGACCTTTTTGCTGCGGGGGCCAGAGGGGGGCAATGCTTTCTGAGGGGGGTCAGAAATTGTTTAATTATTTGCAATTGCAGTTTCTAAATGTTAGCTTTATTAATTCAATATACAAATATAAACAGTAACATAAATAATATCAGCGTGTCAGGGCTTAGCATTAACTATGTACTCACAAGCCACTGCAGTGGTTTTACAAAGTTACTCGCCACTCAAAATATTGCTGTTGAATTTTTTTTTTTAATGATTAAAGCTGACAATGTTTTGCTTAAGTTTACTTAAACTAGATTTAACTTTTTAAAAATGTAAATGTTGAACAGCCCTGGTCATTATCAACTAAAGAAATAAAACTTTTATTTTTTTTGTGGAATGTTGAAAGTGTTGCAGGGAAGTAAAGGAATAATGTAAAACATAAAAACTAAACAGTAAAAAAAAAAAATGCTTTTTTGGTAATACTTTGATTCAGCCAGAAGGGAAATATGGATATCATCAATACAGAAAGTGATTAAAAACACTTTAATTACATTTAAAACAAATGAACTCTATGAAGTAGCTTAAGTTTAAGCATTCAGAGATTTGAACCAAAACTGCATAAATCAATCTAATTTTATGAAATTCAACTTAAAAACAGCAGAGACACAGAGTGGATGAGGCTGTGCACAAATGAAATGCAGGCGGAGAACCGCTTCTCCCTCACACCTCGCTGAAGAAGACGGTTAAATTCAGAGAAATCAATGCTTTTATGAGTTGTCACCATATATATAAAGTAAAATGCTTAGACAATATGCTTTCCCTGCAAGAATAAAATATTTTAAGCATTGTACCATTGTACCTGTAAGGCCTGTGTATAGTCAGGGCCAGCATGTGTGTGCATTAAATCCAGAGCAAAGATGGCTGAAGCAGGATGTGACATATTTGTTGGAAAGTCCGTGCTGCTGGATTGGTATTTGAAAAGCAAATAATATGTTAAATTGTCCTAAATGGAGCAAGCAGTGGAAACACTCTAAATGAGGCCATTTTGTGCAGCCACTCCTTTTTATCATTGAACTGTGAACTTTGACCTTAACACCTTAACTGAGGCGAGTGAGGGAAATTCTGTTTTTTTGTGACATTATATAAATTATCTTTATATATATATATATATATATATATATATATATAAATTTATATATATATATATAATATGTATATACATATCAGGAACTTTGGTTTCTTACCCGTTTTTTGATTTTCTTTTCCCTTGATGCTTTTCAGTATAGCCTACTTCATACTGTCAGACAGGTTCTCTATGAGATATTCATTGGCTCTAGTCAAAAAGTAATAAGGACTGATTGGGGCTTTTGAAAATTAGTTTTAGGAGCTTTTTTCTCAATAAATAATGCTTTATACATTATTAATTTATTTCTACATGGTGACCAGAGATACAGGTTTTCTTCCTATTTGATGGATGTGATTTTCTCTCTAAATAGTAGCGACTCTTCTGTGAAACCTTCCTGAACCTTTGGTGAAGATTAATAAGTGGCTCATTTTAAAAATGCATCTCAGAGTAGAAGGAAATCATTGAAATGTGTAATTATTTTAGTCATTCCATTTAAAATGGAAACTTAGATTATATACTGTAGTTTGCAGATAGGAAGAATGATACAATTGAAGCATTTGTTTCTTTAATGTTGGTGATTTTCAGTTTCTCCAAAAAATTGGAATGTTACATGAGACCAATAAAAATTATTGTCTAAATGCAGAAATATTTTTTACCTGAAAAGAAGCATAAAATGCTTAGAAATGTCCAGATAGAGGCGGAGCTGACTCTGGATCAGATGAAATAAATCATTGCTGACTGGAAACTTCAGACTGGATCCAACCCAGCCTAGATTATTTCCTCTACTTTGTTCATCCAGACTATTCTTGGTTTGGTGCAGGAAGCGTCACCGTTTTACACCATGTTCTGGAAACATGATTGGAAAAGTGCCATATGGCAGAGGAAACCGAACCTTTTACTCAAGATTCACTCTTTCTATTGAATAATAATAATAATAATGATAATAGAACTTTATTGATCTCACATTGGAGAAATTTACCTCTGCATTTAACCCGTCCCTTTGGGGAGCAGTGGGCTGCCATCGTGGGGCCCCCGGGGAGCAATCCGGGGTTAAAGGTCTTGCTCAGGGACCCAGAGTGGCAGTCTGTGGGAGTGGGGCTCAAACTCAGAACCTCAGGATTTCTAACCATTAGGCCACCGCTCCATTCGCTTTGACTCATAATCAAAATATCATTCTGGTAAATCAGAGTTGAGCCAAAAAATGCTTTTTTTTCAGTTTTATTGTGTAATATTTATTGTTTAAACAAAATTATTTACAACTTTTCAATAAAAACTTAACTTCTGACCTTCCAATAAAATGTTCTATTCACATGTTGATTTTTTAACTGTGGTGTGCATATTTGAGTCTGGGGGATGCTTCTACCACCGCAAAGTTTTTGTATTTTTTTTTTTGTGACATCATTAAATCAAAGTTTTCTTTTAATTTTTGAACACCTTTGTCCTTTTTTTAAGTCTGGTCCTTCACAGAGACATTTTAATGGACTGAGCCGATGTTCTGCAACAAATAAAGATGAGATGATCACAAACCAAACACCTCTAACAGCCATGTGCTGAATCCTCTGATCCTGAACATCTCAAACTTGATCTGAGACAAAAGGACCAGATCGACCAATGAAATGCATTAAATTTACGCATAAAACAGTTTGGATGTTGGTTTTTCCTACAGATCCTTCCAATGGATGTGGACAGGACCAACAAACTCCCAGCACTATTCCACAGGAAGGACAAAAGCTTTCCTGTTTTTCTTAGATATATTTTTCCTTTTAAGTATTATTAAAGAAATAAAATAAAATTTCAGGATTTGATTAGGAGCCTCCTTTTTCTCACTCCTTACTCACACTTCTTTCAAATTCCTCCTCAGAAATTAATATAAAAAAGTGCAAACTTACTGAAGGGTTTCATTCAGACTGTTGGTTATTGAAGGCTTCTTACAGTTCAAACAAGGCCTGCCAGAGTTTCTGAATGTTTTTTCTTGTCGCTATTTTAAATCGTTTTTGAATCTTGTGCTTTCTAGCCGCCTCAGTCAAACTACGGCTGTTTGCATAATTCAAGGCTGAAGGCGTTTCTATTCCTTTATCCTTCTTCAGCTCTTTGTTCCACAGGAGTCTTCCTGGTTGCAACAAAAACATAGAAATGGACACGATAATTATAAAATGTTTTAATCATTCAGAAGTCAGCATGTTCACTACAACATTAGAAAACTTTACTCATTCACTTGTTTCACCCATGAATGTTTAAAATGGTCTCTTTGTTTTCGATCCTCTTGAACAAAATGTCAGTAAATGTTTTAATAAATGCATTTTTTAAAACCCCTTTTATTGTCTCATCTGTTCTCAGCAGCTGATGCCAATATATTCATGCACATTCAGGACAGCAAGGTGAGTTCTGCTGAGCCAGGTTAACAGAAAGGCCTCCACCCTGAATCACATCAGTAATATTTCCGGTATATCCCATGCTGAACATGTTTTTCTCTCCCAGTCATTGAGGTTTTGTAGGAAATGATTCAGAGCATCACACATTAAAAACCGGGGGTTTGTAATAACTGAGGGGCCTCTTCATGTTTGACTTTCTGTTCTCCTTAGTGATCGGGATGAGGACCATTCCCACCACAAAAATCATCAGCCCTACGGAGAGCAGGGCCGGTCCCAGGATGTTGGTGACCTTCTTGCACTGGCCGGCAAAGTAAAGGCCGCTGATGACGATGCCGCAGGCCAGGAAGCTCCCTCCAGTGGACATGAAGTGAATGGGAAACCAGAAGACTTCACATTTTTTCGGTGGGGGGTCTGTGGTCCAGAGGGACTCACTACGGGACAGAGTGAAGACTGTGCTCACTTCATGGCTCGGGGGTGTCAGCTGGTCCTGGGACTGGGAGAGTGTGCACTCCCCCAGTGGGATGTTCTCTGGGCTGCCTGGCATGACCTCCTGGGTGACTCTACAGACGAATAAAATAACTCTGTAAGGCAAAACGTGGCTGATTTTAAACCAGAGAAAATGAAAATGGCCATAAGTTTCCTGCAGTGATCAGAGATTTATTATTGAGATACAACATTATACTGTTTACTGTTTGAACAAACAGAAATTACAATTTCTTTAGGGAGTTAAAACCAACAAATCTATCAATACTTTAAGAAAACGAGAAAAGGAAATAACAAAAAACATTATTTTACAATTATTGTAACGAGTAATTTCAAGCCTGAAAGTTGTATTCATTCGCCATCTGTATATTTTACATTTTTAAATCTTTACTGTGAACAAAACTGTTCCTTCAGAGTTATTTCACACATTAAAACCTTAGAAAAGAGGGGCAAAATTTTTATAAACATCCATACCTTTACTTTTTTTAAAATGTTTTTTTAAGTTAATTTGTGTTTCTTTAATTGTAAACAGCTACTAAATACTTTATGGTAAGGAGATTTTGTGTATTTTGTATTTTATTAGCTCATTATCATACTTGTAGTGATTGATAACATTTTAAAACATAAAATTTAATTAATACTCTGTTTGCGGGGTTATAGTAAGCTGGGCTAGCTATACATATATTTTACTTAAACGTTTTATAGAATTTTCCCCTGTATTTGCAGTATAAGTCCCTTAACAGTATTTAGGGAAAAATAAACAACCTGCATAAAATGTTGTCTTCCATCAAACATGTGCTTTCTCATAATATTTTAAACATTTTACTTCTGAAATAGTTTATATGAAGCTCTCAAGATAATTTTTTGTCAGTTACTGATGTCAAAAAATCTTGATTTGCACACTTTTAGTTTGAAAACCATTAATCAGACCTGCTATTTGTGTCTTAGTACCACAGGTTTAGTTTTACTCTATAAGCACAAGATATTTTTTAACATTTACCACAACAATCTAAAGTTGGTTTATTCACAAATAAAGATAATTTACAGTGATTTTCTAAATTAATGCATGGTATCTAATAAAGTGTGTAGGGCTGAGCACAGAACCTTGCAGTAAATAACATCAGTTTTTACCATCAGTGTGAGAATCTGTTCTCTCTTTTACTTTCAAATTTATTGTCCCCTTTCAGATCGCTTTATTTCTTAAATTTAATAATAATAATAATAAAAAATTAATTATAACTCCACAGTGGTGGTGCATTCAGGGTGATGTGCTCTTTTAACTTTATATGTACATGAATCGTGACTTTAAATGGCACACAGATTAATTCTAATTATTGATTATGTGATATAAGAACCATTGGCTGGATTGGTGTTTATTTAGGGGCGTCAGAGGAGATAAATCCAAACACGCCACATTCCTCATAGGAAGTTATTTCGTCATCGATTTAAGCATGTTTCCACTCACTTGGTGCTGAAACATACAATTTTTCTGTATCTTTAGCTTCCTTTCAGAAAATATCAGAGCATGATGCTGCCACCTCCATGTTTCACTTTGGACTAAGTATTATTTTATTAGTGTTTGGTGTTATCTTTGTGTCAAACATGATCATATGATATCATTTAGGTATCATATCTATATTAAAAGAGAGACTTGTATAAGAAGTGCTGATGAAGGTTCTCAGTCATCCAGGTCATAGTCATTCCGTAAAAATTCAAAAAATATCCACTGGACTTGGTTTTCAAGATTTGAAGACGTTTCTCCACCTCTCCAGGAAGCTTTCTCAATTCAAATGTCTGGATCCGCAGTGAGTTTGAGTCTTATATGGACAAGGCCTCGTATTGCTTGAAAACATGCAATGGTAACCGATGAATGGGTCGTTTAGTTCCATCGTTAGAAATTACAGGCTAACGATGGAACCATATATATATATAATCACCAATACATAACCAATACAAATATTTATAATTATTTTAGGCAGAACTGAATGTTTATCTCAACCCTTAGTAAAGAATTAAAACAATGCATTTTGGAAATTCCTATTGCTCCTCCAGTGTTGTCTTTTGGTAGCCTCTCATGTCTTTTGTCAGTTTAGTGAAAGGTTTTGCATTTTGGAATGCCACCTAGTGCCAATTTATTTATCTAAATGTTTCCATTGAAGTTTTGGAGTTTTTTTATACTGTTATCCTGACTGATTTCTTTGCACAGTAAGGCTCTTTGAGACTTTACAGCCATTTCTGTAAACTAAATCTCCCAGCAAATCCAGCTAAAACAACTGGAATCAGATTCACTCTAACTGATGACCAGTGTGAACTGAGGAAAACTGAATGCTGAACTTAAATAAAAAAGGAGATTCAGTAAAGTTTTAACACATCTATGCAGCTCAATTATTGCAGCTTTCATTTTAGGTTCGTCATCAAACAGATTTATATTTGGGTTGGACAGTATAAATGTTCTATTTACATGTTGGCTTAAAAAAAAAAGTAGTTCTTAGAAATCGAGTGATTTTCACTGAAGCTGACATTTTACCTGTGCTGTGCATATTTGAGACTGGAGGATGCTTCTACCACCGCAAAGTTTTTGTATTTTTTTTTTGTGACATCATTAAATCAACGTTTTTTTTAAATGTTTGAACACCTTTGTCCTTTTTTAAGTCTGGTCTTCACAGAGACTTTGTACATTTCAATTGACTGAGTCGATGGAAAGATCATGAATTTATGTAATTCTGAACCAAATTAGACTAAATGTTTTATTCAAAATGATGGGTTTCAGCTGAGGAGGAGGAGGAGAGTGAGATCCACAGATCTCTTACAGTTTCCAGTCAAAACAAGTGAAGACAGCTTGAAATGTGATTCCATGAATCAATAAATGACATCATGATGGCTGCTTCCATTTGAACAGCCTAAAGCTTTACGGTCAATTTTCCTCCCAAAAAACCTCAATGAATGTAGAGAAAGCAGAGCCTGTTTTCTAATTCACTGATTACCTGAAGTTAATTAGTGACTTTCCGGCGCCTGTTGAATTATTTTCACCTTGTTATATTTTAGGCACATAGATTATTTCAGGACTATTGAATCTTTCTAAATAATTAATCTTTTTTCAATTACGCTTCCCTCTTTGTCGGGCTAATTTTACTGGAGGTAATCAGGCTCCCTATCAATTATTAACACTTTGATAGAAGTATTGATCATGTTAGGCCACACCCTCCACCCTCTATTACAAAACACACATCGCTAGAAAATGATTAAATCTGAACATCTGTTAGGTAAACAAAGATCTGAAGAGGCTTTCAGTTGCAGGAAAACAATAAATAAAATAGTAATATTATTATATTTATAAGGATTCTTCATTTTGTCTCTCAAATTAAATCCAGATGCTTGTTAGATTAGTTAAACAGGAGTAAACAGTCAAACTTACCCTTAAGATTTGGATCAAGTCTTCTTGTTTTTACAGGTTAGAGTCACATAAAGATGCAAAAACACTCAGAAATCTAAAGAATAAGCTGAGGAAAAAACTTCCTCCCACTGCCTGACCAGAGGAACCAATAAAAAGCATCAAGGCAGATTTTTGTTCCTGAACAATCCACTGCCCACCCTCTTGTGCTTCCTGCACCTCCTCCAAGGAAAACCCTGTGGCCACCACAGTCTCACCATCACACACCATCACAGACGCTCCTTCCTCATGTTGAATCCAGGCTAAGAAGCTTGTCTTCTCAGAAGAACCTCTCTCTTCCCCACAGGAGTCAGTGCATTAAAGCAGACGCCAGAACAGTTGGAGTGCTTTCAATCATAGAGGTTTTTCTTTTTCGTCACACAGAGCAGCAGAGCAGGGCAGTGATCAGGAAATGGCTCTGACAGATTGATGAAGCAGGCAGTCACCCCCACGCAGACTTTCCAACGTGTTGGCACAACATTGATCCTAAAGCAGCCCCCGGCTATAATCTGCAAGTTGTAGTTTTGCTCACTGAGCATGGAATCAATTCTATCTGTGTGGCAGAGTTCATCCTTGGACAGAGATTTTGTTTTTCCCACAGATCTTGGTGTTTAGCCTTGAACAGCTTCAGCCCCAGATGCACAATACAAGAAGGGAGGGAGGGGGGGGTTGTTGCATTATGTCCCTAATGTTTGCACTAAACACATCTGGCATTACGGCTGTGACTTAGCTGCCATTAGGGAACATTTTCAGAAAAGCACCATATGACCAAAGATCTGAAAATATCTGCTTGGTTTCATTAGATCATTAATGTTACTTTTTTATGGGTTTTTGTGGCAAAGGATTTGTTTTTCTAAGCTTGTGATACTATTATTTATCCACCAGAGGGAAGCATCAACATTTAGTTAAAATGCCAACTTTTCCTCACAGCTTGTTTTTTCATTTAATGATAAGTCTATAATCCAGGATTATTTTAAAGCCGAATTACCTAATTTATGAGTTAATTTCATGTTTTTTTTTGGTTATCTTCCTGGATGTCATGGTTTCCTGCCTTAATCTATTTAATTGTTTACTAGTCGGATTGTTAATATGTCATTAGTTTAGATCTAAAAGTAATGCTTTTATTCAAAGTCAACTTTATTGACTTTTTATTGATCTATAAACTGAAAGTGACGACAAAAAGAGCAAAAATTTAAAACCATGCATTACTCAATTTTTTAAAGAACAACAGCCTCCTGATTATTTTACACTGATAGGTGACAAAAATGTGCATATTCTGACACATTCAATTTAATACTATACACACTTAATTATAAATGATAAAGTTAATCTGATTTTTAGTGCTTAGTCTGTTTTTCTCCAAGACAAAACTATGGGCTCAACCGTTACTGTGATTAATTCTATCTGGTGTCTGTCTTACATTTTAAAATGAAAACCAACTCAGAGTTTACCTATTTAACTGTTTCTTTCCTAAACAGAGCCACATAGTTACCCATTACTTTTTATAACGTAGAAAGTATTAAGGGATTAGTGCTTCAATGTTCCCTTTTCTTCATCTGATTCTATCTCCTAGGTCTCAGCAGAGGACATCTCATAAGGTTTAAACCCTATCTAGAAGCTTTTTGCACGGAGTTTGCATGTTCTTTTTTTGTGCATGCATGTGCTCTATGCAGACACTTCAGCTTCTTCCCACTCTCCAAAAACTGGAATGTCAGTTGAAGTGTTAACTTAAAATTACCTCTGGTTATGTCTTTGCCCTGTGATGGACTGGAGACCTGTTCAGTATGTAAACTTCCTCTCACCCAATGCTTGCCAGGAAGGTAGCAGTCTCCCATGAAATGTTTAGTGGGTACAAAAGGGGTTAGTTAGATATTAATATAAATAAAGATAGAATAAAATATTAATATAAAAGGAAAGAACTGCCTGGTAATGAAGAAAAATAATATATTTTTTGCAGATCATCCACAACCAAAGATGTCAAGTATGAAAATGTTTCAAGCAAACACTCAGTGCCCCCATGTTTAATGGCTTTGAGGCATTGAAAGCTCTGTGCAGAGTTTAACTAAAAACAGGCTCATATATTTGGTCTGTAAAGAAACACAAATAAAGGGAAAATAAGGCTTTCAGGTAAAAAACCAAAAACATCTGCTCGAATAAAACCTTTAACCTCCACACAGTAAACTGTTGAACCATCAGCCTTTTCCTTGTTTGTAGCACGGTTCTACATAACCAGTAAATAACTGGTAAAGTGTAATTAATGCTTTTTAACTTCCCTGAGCAGCTCATATCATTTCACTTGGAAATTTATGCCAAAAAAGCATCTATGAGAAAAAAACAATGCGGTAGGAAACTAACTGGAAAGCAGCTCTGAAGCCCAGACTGGCTAAGCCTCTGAGTCTGAGGGATATGGGAAAGACACGACCCACTTGGTCCTGAAGGACGGTGGCATGTGTCTTTAGCCTGGAGGCAGCTGGCCTTATTGATTCTGTGTGTGTGTCTGAGGTTATTTGGGCTTGTTTCAGTTTAGTTTGTGCACAGCAGATGCTCTTTAATGGCTGCAGGACAAATCCACTGATTTTGATGTTCATTCTGGGGTTAAGGTCGAAGTTACTCAGGGAAAGTTGCAAAAGAGAGTCTGAAATAAAAATAAACTACTATTCTTTTTAAACTATTTTGGTAGTATAAAAATCACCAGATAAAATATAATTTATAACAAATAGTGAGGAGCTGAGCTTTTTGACTAAGAAATGCAGCATTCCTGCCCTGTTCTTTAAAAAAAAATAAAAAATTTCTATGCAGTTTAGTTAAGTACGTAACCATTTCAGATACAGCTTAACAAAGATATACAAAATTCACAAGTAGATAAAACAGTACTAGGGAACAAAGCAATTTAATAAAACGTGAAAAAAAGGTTTGACCAAGCAGAGGCAATATTTAAAGGAAAAGTCTGGTTAAAAAAGGAATAATCAATGGATAATT